GTACGTTCCTCCAATAAACTCTGCAGGCCCCTTGAGTCGCCTTTACGTGTGTGCCGTTGAGAAGACTCAAGAATCGCGCGCGATGTAAACCTGGCAGGCAAAACAGACGAAAAAACACGGCGGGATGAGGAAGGGACGCATGGTCCATGTTTCACCTGAATGTTGTCTTGTTTGCTTGAGAGAGAAACAAAGAGAGAGAGAGTGCACGCATGACCAAAACAGGAAAATAACACAGCTACCATGGTGGTAATGAACGAGGTATGAGAGAGACAACAGCTACTGGGAGACGGTTTCAGGAGAGACGCAAAAAAAAGCACAGGGCCTACTCCAAATATTTACCTTTTCAACACAATGCAAGATGGGTGCACCCCCCCCCCCCGCCCCCCTACATACTTGAACCTTTCCTATGCCTGTGCATGTTTCTTAAAAAAAGTGTCGCACAAAAAGTGAATGGACACATTATTGTGCATCATGGACCATATGTACCCCCCGAAAATATATTTCAGTATGCTTTCAGTAATATGAGATAATAGTGCCTTCTCCCCCTCCTTCCACTTGGACCATTCCTAGCCCTCATTTTCCCACTTCAACCCTTTTGTATTGTTCTTACCCTAGCTCGACTGAATATGGCCTTGGCCTCATCGATCTCCTTCAGCTTCTTGTTCAGGTCGTCCACCCGGCGCTGCAGGAGCGGGGTTTGCACCACCAGCGGGAACTTGTTGAGCTGGCTTTGGCAGGACGACTCGTTCTCCTGGAACACCGCGAGACCATGGTGTACGGTACGGTACGGAACGGTAAAATCCGGTTCGGGACGGAAGAACGTCACCGTCGTCGCATACCGGAGGCGGATTGAAATATCACCAGCACCCCCAGGGGGGATGACAAAAAGGGGGGAACGGGGGGGGGGGGGGGGGGGGTTTTAAATTTTTAAAAAAATTTTTTGGGGGTTTCCCTTTCGGAAAAAAAATTTAATGTTTTTTGAGGTTTTTTTTTTTCTTTTAAAAAACTTTTCATTTTTTTCCCCGTACATTTTAAATAAAAAACCCAAAAAAGGGGGGAAAATTTTTTTTTTTAAAAAAAAAAAAAAAAAAAATTTTTTTTGGGAATGGCCAAAAAAAAACCCCCGGTTTTTCCCCAAATTTTTTAAAAAAAACCGAAAAACTTTTGGAAGGGAAAATTTTTTTTAAAAAAAAAAAAAAAAAAAAAAAAAAACCTTTTCCGGGGGGAGGGGGGGGGTGGGTAACCTAAAATTTTCCCCGAAAAAACAAAACCCGGAAATTTTTTTTAAAACCCAATTTTTAATTTTTTTTAAAATGGGGGGTTTGGGGTTTGGAGAAATTTCCTTTTTGAAGATTTTTTAAAAAAATCAAAAACCAAAAAGTTGGGTTGCTTCCCTTTTTTTTTGTTTTGGGGAAAAAAAAAGGGTTTTTTGGTATTTTTTTACATTTTTTTAAAAAAAAACCCTTTTTTTTTTTATTTTTTGGTTAACAAGTAAAAAAATAATTTTTTATAAATTTTTTAAATTTTTTGGAAGGTAGGGGGGTAAACACCTTCCCCAATCTCCCCTTTTGTTTTCTAAAAATTTTTTTTTTTTTTTTTTTTTTATCCACCGCGGGGGGGGGGGAAAAAATAAAAAAGGTTTTCCCCCACTTTTTGGGGGGGTGTTTTTAAAAAAGGAAAAAAAAATTCCCCCCTATTTTTTTTTTAAACTTTTTTTTTTCTTTTTGAAAATTAGAGGACCCCGCCCCATTTTCGGAAAAAATTTTTCCCCGGAGGGGGTGTTGCCCTTTTTTTTTTTCGGGGGTTTTTTTTCCGGGGGGCTTAAGAGGAAAAAGCCCCCGGAATAAACCCCTTTCCCCTTTGGGGGTAAAAGGGGCCCCCGGACCAAAGGGCCCGTTGGAATATCCCGGGGGGGGGGCACTTTTTCAAACCCCCCCCCCCCGCCCAGGTTCTTTCGTCCCCCCCCCCCCGGGCGTTTTTCTGCCGATAGAGCATGATAGAAAAGTCCGAAATGCAAGACCTGTTGGACAGAGTCCGTTCCGCGGAGGACAAGGCGAAGCGAAGACGTACCGGTGGTCGAGGCGGGGGGCGCAATAACGGCCCTACGTACAACATCGAGGACGATTTCTAGGCGGAGCCAAGCGGTGTTTGATTATTGTTTTTTTGTGAGGTTCTTCCTAACCTACCCACCGTCGGATGATCCGATGATAAGAGGAGGAGAGCGAAGGGTGTGTGTGTGTGTGTTTGTTTGTCTCTTTTCTTTTAGCACCGACCGCGCTAATAGCTATCCGGCTGACCAATGAAAAGACGCCAGTCTCAGTGCGTTCGAAAACAGACAACGAAGTATGCGCGCGTGTGTGTGTTTATTTTATTAGCATCGGCCGCGCTAGCCGGCCGAGCTGACCAATGAAAATGCGCCAGTCTTTAGGCGGGATTAAGGTGGTTTTTATGCGGCAAGAAAGCCGGCCGGAACACTCAATGAACTCGTGAGGTGGCTTCTCTTTTGTGTACTCGTGGCCGATGTTTTTTTTTTTGTATTTTTCGTTGCATTTTACGGGTTGTGTGTGGTACACGGTAGAAATGCTGTGTTCATTCTGGAGGAGAGGTAAGATCGTCGTCCTCTCCCCCCAACACAAGACGGTGTGATTGGATTGATTTTCGAGTCCCACCCTGTCTGTCTGTGAATACGGCACGGGTACGGTGGACGGTAGCATGCGGAACGATGTCTGTCGTCTTGTGGCAGACCGACCATTGACCTCTGCGTGCGTTTCTGAAACCGGTAGAAGAAGAGTAGAGTAGTGGGAATGCGTATGGTAGTTCCCTTTCATGACCCACGGGCCGGACGGAGGAAAAGTGTTTGTTGGGCCTATCGACTATGCAAAATATTGAACTGAAACTGCTGTACCCAGTAGCTATTATTACATGGAAAAAGCCAGGCGACTATCGTAGTTTGCTCTCTGGTGAGCTTTCGTGCCTCCCCGGTACCGACCATGACCCAAACGCGAGCAGCGGAAGGGGGCTCGCCGGGGGCAGCCGCATTTTTCACTACATACCTCTTGTCTTGACTGTGGCTCTATGTAGCCTGTACGACAATGAACGGTTTGTTGGTGCCGACATCCGTACCCTGTCTGGGTGCGGGCAACACCTGTTTTGTCTCGGTAAATCACGATCCGGATTTCTGAGGCCTGGGTTGGCTGGTGGCGGTTGAATCGCTATCAATTCGCGAGTCCCGGTAGGCCGGTGCGATGCACACACTCACTCATCATCATGTTTTCGTATTTGGTAATCAGTTTTCAGTGCGTGCGTCCAGGGGACGTGCGGCAGGTGTGCACACGAGACTGCTCCTGCTACTGCTGTGTGTGTTTCACAGCTCGAGTGGATCCCGACCTACCTGCACATGTCATTCACCCGCGGATCTTGGCTGCTCATGAACACCGGTGCAGCCGTTTCACTCACGCAAGAGTCAAAATCATGTGTTCTACAACGTTGACGATGTATGAAAATCTACAATGTTGTTGTAGCAATGGGTTGCAGCGTGGATCCATGTGGCCATCATTTCATGATTGCGAGAGCGAAGATGAGTGCCTTAACCTTGTCTCATGACACAGAGTCGTATACACATGATGTAGCATAACATATCGGCACAAGAGTTGCCGTCCTGTGTGATAAAAGATGACAGACACAATATTTCCGAATTCCGAATTCCGAAAAAGGCCTGACACCAGAGCAAAAGATCTCATCCTTGGGAACTGGGGCGACATGCGCACGCCCACGTGGGAGAGAGGATTTACGGACATTGAAAAATAAACACGGAAAGTGACCGTTCAAAAAATTGGTTTCGCTTGTAGTATACGCTCGACCATGTGCGTTGCAAGCAACCCGCACGCGTGTGTGTCATGTCTAGCAGTACACAGACTTCACGACGGATTAATTTAATTCTGTTCCCTTTTGAAAAAAGAAAAGAAAAGAAAAAAGAGAATATATAAGAGCGGCATAACTTCCACCTGAGGACGCACACACGCATCCACGAGACTCTCCGCCGTCAAAAATCCGGCCTCGCGCTCACAGCTTTCCCGATTACGTTGCAGCTACACCACACCTTCCCCCCGAGCGAGAGCGTAACCCGCGGCTGGCTATAGGCCGCGTGAAGAGTATAGTGGTATAGCTGAACCGATGCTAGACCTCCAAGCCTGGGAATCCTCCGCTGCTCGGTAGAAGAGGCCGTGCCTTTTTTCTTATCGAGCTGGGCAAAGAAGAGCCAGAGACCCCGCCCACATCCACCGGATGGCGAGGTCATGGGGTCGAGCACGCAGCTACCAGACTGTGACAGTCTTGATCTTCCTTTGCACGCTGGTGTCATGTGAGTCTACAAGACCAGCAGCAATTCATTGTTGTTGCGTCCCCGCACTCTGTGCACGCTGCTGTCACATGATCCTGGCCGTTGAGTGGCGCGGAACAGCTCTCTCTAAAATGGGACGCGTCGGGGGTGCAATGTGTACATACCATACCCACCAAAAAATTCTACTTGTATCTTGTATGTACTCGCTCTCTGTGCCTCTCTTGCGATCCCTGGTATATACGACCGCTTGTCACGGGCAAACACGGGCGGGATGTGGCTGTACTGCTGTGCTTTCTGGTGGTGCCTGCATGCCATATCTATGTGCCACCGGTACTGCCAACGCATATGTGTTTGTAAGGGAGGGCTGGATCGTTGTCTTGCGGTCTTGCAAAGGCCGCGGTTTTGTATTATGGACGACTTCAGACTTCCAAGTGTACGCTGGCGGCTTATTTTGCAGAATCTTCGTATGCAGCGACGTCTCGTGGGCGATTGCTTGGCTGGCATGTCGCAGCATACCGAATTTATTTACATGTAGAATGCACAGATATATGTACATGGGTGGGATGGTGGAGTTCACTGCATTTTCGTCTGTTCAGGATCCCGCGGGCGAGAAGAGACACCGACAAGTGATCTTCGCCTGCTATAAGTCATCAAGAGATACGCTAGTCTCCGGGGTTAGATTCCAGGAACTGCTGTCCCAACTGATACCACTCGATCCATTATGTGTACACCTGATGATCACCCATGGACTTGTCTACCGTCCGTCGTTCGAGGTGAGGACCTGTGCTATAGCCATTCTTCAGAAGAACTGCAGCGCAAGAAGCAATAAAAAAGACTTCCCGCTCGAGATAATACCCCGGTCGAAGTTTTGGGGGCAGCGCCCTGTGCTCGTACTGTACGCTGCTGATGAGCGAACTCACGGTTCACAATATTTTCTCTCTACAGCAGTGCGCGTGTAGTTAGTGTGTTTCTCTGATGGTGTCAACGTCCACACCCTCAGTCAGCTAAAGTACGTCGGTAACGCATAACATAAGCTCCACGTTTACATCTGTTCTCCCCCTACTGTACCCCCCCCCCTCCCCCCCCCCCGCGTTTGCGTCTCTCACGTTGCCCTGACATCAGTTTTTGAGAGAATGGGATTCAACATCGCGTTCACCACCATAGCGGAAGAGAATGGCTTGACTGAGACGGAAAAGGGCTTGACCCTTAGCTCCTACTACTTTGGGTTCACCGTCTCTCAGGTACATGATGTGGATACTACTGTAGGTCATAATTAGTTGGTAAATAGTTTGAGGTCACAGACGATAAATTGATCGTCGTATATTGTAGCGGACGGAGGGTCCAAATGTGCGTGTGTATTTTTTATGCATGTTAGCATCGACCTGTCTGTGTGTTTTTGGATATTGCAGTATTACTGTGAGCACGGTGAATAGAGGGAATCCTCGGCGGACGTTGGGTAGATTGGAGGGACGTCATGCCCACCTGTAGTTCGAGTACGTCCTTGGAGTAGAGGGGTGCTTCCATATATCCAAGTGCAGAATGTGGAAGACGATATGATCACTGATGTTCGGATGCCACACAAATACACCAAGCAAATCCCCCTCATGGCCGTACCTACCGCCTCCTTTGCGTGTGCATCTGCGTTGTTATATGTTTCGCTTGCGTTGAAAGCCCATATCCGTTGTTCGCCCGCCTTGCGTAGATCGACGTGGTGGTCGGTATGTTCTGGGGCGGGCGGCGGAGGTATGGCTGACCCCTTGGGTTTACATTTCGTTTGCCTCAATCTTCTTTGACCCCCCCCGCCAAAGAAGGCCAACCTTGTGGCGACACGTTGAAATGGCCCCCGAGGCTGAATTTCGGGGAGATGCACAAAGCCCCCCGCTTAAACACACAAGGGATATGATATGTTTCTCGTCAAGCAGGACAATAGGCGGGAACACCTTGAAAATACACCTAATTCGAAGGGGGCGTGAATACAAAAACGTACGTTGCTCCAAAATACTGGTGTCGGGGTTGAGCCTAGCTCGAGATTCCAAGCCAATTCTACGATGTAGTCTATGCCTTCGTTCTTCCCCAACGCGACAGAGCTGGCTCTTAGGCAGTAACTAGCTCCCCCCGGGACCGTTTTCCCCTCATGCAATGAGTCTGTTATTTCGCTACTGCCGCTGGTGGCTGGGTGTACGTTGACACGTTGATACCGCATTTTATATCACGCTTGGACAACCTGCCCCCCCCCTGACAACTGTGAGCAGAGTACGGTAGACGTCGTTCACGCATGTCCATCTGACAAAATTGAATGTCATGGCTCAACGATTGGTCTTGGTATTGCGAAATCGTGCAGCCTAGGGGAAGGAGCGGCAAAGGGAACATATCGGGTGTGCCATAGCCCAGCATTCATTCACACGTTTTCCCACCCTCAATAGCTTCCATCGTTTCAACTCCGTTCAACTCAAAAGCACCTCCCCCAAACAGTGCCACCCCCCCCCCCCCCCCCCGGGCTGTCCTCTCAAATACGTC